GCTTGCCCTCCTGCAGCGCTCCCGGGCGTATTTGTGGCTTTTGTGGCCTGTGGGTGGTTGGTTAGTTTTTTCACCCTGGACCTCGCCCCCTCCTCCCCATCACTTTCAGCACCCCGCCGGTCGGGCCCCTGCTCTCTCCCGCCCCCACTCGCACACCTGCCCCAGCCGCCAGCGCGCCGCGCGCTCCCCGCCCCTCTGGGGAGGACTCAGCCTGGGGAGCCCCCTCCCCTCCTCCCTCGCGCGCCCTCCCCGGCGCGCCGGGCGGCGACCGGCGCTAGCCCTCGCGCAGCGCCCTGTTATTCTGGGTATTGTGTGTAATAAACGTCGGGCCGCCTCACTCTAATCAAGCTCATTACAAATTCTTGCGCGCCCGGGGCCGGAAATCGTGCGCTCCCCCCCTTCCCTCACTCATTCACTAGTTACTTGTCTTGCTGCTTTTTAACTCGCCGCCCCCGCCCCCTCCCCCAATCCCGGCCCTCCAGCCCGGGTTTTAATCCCCATCCCTTTTCCGCCTTCTCCTTGCACCCTGCTCCCCCCACCCGCCCCGCGCCTTCCTCCTCCGCTCCTCACCCCCTTCCTCCTCATCTCCCTCCCCCTCCTCCTCCGCCGCCGCCGCCACTTTCTCGCTCGCTCCCGCTCCCCGGACGCGGCGGATGAGCCGGCCCCGCTGGGGAAGGGCTCGGGGCGGCGGCGGGCGGCCGGGAGGAGGCTGCGTGCTCGAGGCTGGGGCTGCGAGCGGGGTGATTTTGTATTAAAATGAGGAGGAGGAAGAAGAGGCAGCCACAGCGGCGGCGGCGGCGGCAGCAGGAGCAGCAGCAGCGGCGGCGTAGAGGGCTGCAGCCCGGGCGGACGCGCGGAGCCGAGCTGGGCACGGCGGTGGTGGCGACAGCGGCCGGGATGAGTCAACTAATGATTTAATGGGAGCAGAGACGGCAGCGAGGGGGAGAGTGAGCGAGCGAGAGAAACAGCCCCGTCCGGGGACTCGCGCTCACACGCACGCACACACACACAAACACACACACACCTCTCCCTGTGCCACCCAGCAACAACCGGCCTCCTCACAACAACAACAGCAACAGCCGCCTTTTAGCCTGCCCGGGGACCGAGCATAAAGCCAGAGCGACTCCAGAGGACGCTTCCCACCCACCCTCTTTCATTTCAGGAAACTCCTGATCAGTTTTGTTGGGGTTTCTGGGTTTCTTTTTTCACAAGTCCTAGTGCCATTGTGGTGCTCGTTGTTTACCGCGGACTCTGGCTAAGTGAGAGCTTGGCGACTTTTTGGGGGGGAGGGGAGCGGGGAGTTTGTTGCTGCTGAGGCGGTGGAGGTGGCTGGGGGTGCCTTCTGGTTCTCTTCCTCCTCCCCCCACCCCCGAACCTTCTTTCTCTCTCCCTCACTCACTCGGCTCCCCAAACGCACGATAGCCCCGCGTCAATGGGCAGGGAGAGGGTCCTCGCGGCTGTTTTCAGCAAGGGCGGAATCAAAAGTGGCATTTTAGTGCCTTTCCGGGATTTTTTTCGCGGCCCTCTGCCCCCCACCCACGCTGTCCCCCGGTAGATGCCCTCGTTGGGGGTGCGAGGCTGTGGGAAGAAAGTTTAACATTTGTTATTATCAGTCGCAATTGTTGGGGAGGCGGTGGGGGCGTTCGGAGGGGGGGAGGTCGAGGGGGCCTTTCCCTCTCCGCGTTCTCCCGGGGTATTGGAGAATAATACTGCATGTGACAGCCAGAAGTAGACTTTCTGTCCTCACACCGGAGAACCTGCGCGAGCAGGAGGGAGGGAGGGACCGAGAGGCTCCTTTTTCCTTTCTGAAGACCTTGTCCGCAGTGATTTTTTTTTTTTTTTCTTTTTTCTTTTAAAGAGAATCCTCAGTCACCACCTCGGTTTCCCCGCACCACCACAGTGTATAGCTCATAATCGGTTTTGCTTTGTTTTTATGATTTTCCCCCCAACGAATCACTTGTCAGATCAATTTTATCTTCACCCTCCTCCCTACTTCCCCTTCTCCCCTCCTCCCCCATCGGAAACCCCGTTCTCTGAGGTTAGGCATTTTACAAACCTTATATGTTGTTTTCCGAATTGTGATTTTTTTTTTTTTTTTTTTAGCCCCCTCTCCCATGGCTACTCTTCTAGACATTTATTTCTGCCCTTCCCCCGCTTAGGGGGCGGGGGTAAGGGGAGAGAAAATAATACAATTTCAGGGGAAGTCGCCTTCAGGTCTGCTGCTTTTTTTTTTTTTTTTTTTAATTAAAAAAAAAAAAGACATAGAAAACATCAGTCTTGAACTCCTCTTCAAGAACCCGGGCTGCAAAGGAAATCTCCTTTGTTTTTGTTATTTATATGCTGTCAAGTTTTGAAGTGGTGAGTTTCAGGTCGGTTTTGCTAATTTCACTCCGAAAAACTGCAGTGTTTCTGTTTCTAGATAGTACTTTGCTTCTTTGTCTCTTTAAAAGGTCACCGTGAAAGCTTGGCCTGGATCGCACCGGCCATATGGAATGGATAAGGGCACAATCTCTCCTAAATGTGATCGTGGGGTTCTGTGGGGGCGAGGAAGGTGATCCAGCAAGGAACTCATTGAAAAGGATCCTGCATTGCAAAAAATAGGTTCTCAAAACCGGAATTCCGTGCTTTTCTTTCTTTTTTTTTTTTTTTTAAAGGAAATAATCGCTGTGACAGAGTTCGCTGTTTTATTCAGTAATTTTCATAAGTGGACTTAGTTCATGGGCAGGGAAATGGAATTTTGAGAAGGTGGCCCGCTTTCTGCGTGCCAGCCAGAGGTTACACTAAAATGCGTTTTAAAATGTATAACTCAAACTCTTACAGCCTGGTATCTGTTGAGACCATAGTTACTTCCCCTGCCATTAGAACAGGCAGGTCTGTGGAGGTTGCTCTTTGCAATTCCAAATTGAGGTTTGGTGAACTGTAGCCTTGGGCATAGAGTTTAAATGAGTAAATTAGGTGTTTTACGTGCATGTAATTTTGCCTTGTAATGTAAAGCTTTTTACAAGATGACCGAGTGTTTAATAGATGCTTATAGGTGGGTATTCAAAGAACAATTTTGCGTGACCTATATGATGTTTTGATTGTCAATACATTAACTAAATTATAATCTATGACTTCATTTGCTGTACAGCTTGTAGGACTGTTAAGCCTCGTGACTACTTAATATGTTTTGTAGTATTAACTTTGATGCTGTGGTCTACTTTTTTTCCCCCCTCTTAAATTGCCCCAAGGGTTAAGGATTTTCTTTTCAAATCGTATGTTTTAAAATTTATCTTCTGCTCTAGGGTAAGGCAGTCAATTTCAGAAAAAGCAGCTCTGTATTATAATCCACAGGAAACATTATAAAGAGTGTTTTGAATAAGTTAATAATCATCACTCTCTAATTTTGGCTGTAGACTGCAGTTTAATATAATGGAAAAGAATAATCTTGATAAAAAGTGGTTAAAATAGGCACATTTATTGTTAATGAACCTCATAACCAAAAACAGATGGGACCTCGATCAACGGTAAACCTTTAGTTCTTAGCGTGCCACCCTAGGGCACAGGGACAAATTGCCATTATTTCCAAACTTCATAGTCCTTCAACCGGAGTTCTTAAAGCTACTTTTAAACCTCCAGATTAGCAATGTCCCCCCATTCACCCCTGTTTCTTGGCTGTATGGGACAAAGTCTTCCACAGTTAAACAGGGGAAAATGTTTACAGATGGGCCATTGTAATGCAAGCTGTCTTTCAACAAATCCAGAACTAAATAGCTTCGGTGTAATAATTTTTTTAAAAGCACAAGATATGTCGAATTACTAGACAGCTAGAGGAAAGTAGCCAGTTATGTTCTTTCTGGTTTACCTAAATGGGATCCCCTTAGTATTGGTAAACTCGATACTTCAGGTACCACAAGGGTTCATAAAATAATTCTGCTCACCTGTCCTATCAACTCTAGTTAAAACTGCATTTTGGAAGTGAGTTTAGCATTATGAGCAGTATGAAAATTTATGTCTAATATATAACTGAAAATAATTATCTGTTAATTTTTTTCTGAAGTTGATAAAGATGTTGACTTTATTACATACTGAGATTATTTTTCAAAACTGGAGATTGTGTCTTACCAGTATCATCAAGATTTAAAAAAAAAAAGTGAGCTTAGCACTTCAGCCTAATGTATATAGCACAAGTATTTTAAGGAGTTTTGCAGTTTATATTGGCAGCAGCCTCATATTACTAATGGACACCTAAATTTTAACTATAAAACATATGAATTGTAATGCTTCAGTGCCTGAGATGTTTGAAGAAGCTCTCTACTTCTTCCTGTTTGCTTAGGGGTGAAGTGATCCAATCACATGTTTGACCCAAGACTTGACAAGATCTTTAACTGGTCACGTAACTCTTGAAACTTTGATAGTAGGAAACTTTTTCTGTGAATTAACCTGTAACGTGGGGAGATTAAAAAGCATTTACATGTTTGCTGTCTTCTTGAGAGATGGTGTATATATATATTTTTTTCTCATGCAAATTAAAAGATATAAAAATGTAAACACATACATTAGATTTAATTAATATTTTAGACTGATAATCTTCCCATCCTTGATTAAAATGCTGCTATTTTATTCTGTAATGAGTTTTAATTTTTTAAAATTGAGATTACATAAATACAGTTTGTTGTTTTTTTTTCTAGCTATCTTTGTGGTAATTTTTTTTTGTTTAAGTAAGCCCATTCTCCCCACCCCCCACTTAGTTTTGTTTTAGGTGACAAATTACTTTTTTACTCACATGTGTTGGTACAGTTTCCACGAATTATTCTGTTAATTTGAATGAAAATGTAATGCTGCCGTCTAGAAATATGGTAACATCTGCATTGTATTATTTCTAGGTAAGCAATTTTACAAATGCGTTATGTTTGTGGAGAGAGATCACTGGGGGTAAAACATTTATGTGGGATATATATATATATATATACACACACACGCATCCAATTAAAATATGTCTTCTTTTTAAATCCTGGCAGGTGATCTTTAGAGGGTAACTGAGTATGGATCATTTGAACGAGGCAACTCAGGGGAAAGAACATTCAGAAATGTCTAACAATGTGAGCGATCCGAAGGGTCCACCAGCCAAGATTGCCCGCCTGGAACAGAACGGGAGCCCACTAGGAAGAGGAAGGCTTGGGAGTACAGGTGCAAAAATGCAGGGAGTGCCTTTAAAACACTCGGGCCATCTGATGAAAACCAACCTTAGGAAAGGTAAATAATTGTGGAAAGCTGCAAGCCCTCATGTCTACCCAAAGCCACTTGGTGTGGGAGTGGAGAGGTTGAATATGTCTTTGTATATTCTTTTCTTTGATTCTCTTTCTGATCTGAAATTAGTTACATTCTTGGCTGGACTGTCAATCACATTTTGAAAGTGTAGACTCCGTGCTTGGGTGGAGCATTTGCTCTACTGTAGACTGGAATCATTGGACATTTTGGATGATAAAGATTGAATTAAATTTAATGGTCTTAGACCTGGCTTCCATTGATACGGTATTATTGTAGTAGAGGCTAGATGGGTGGCTGTTGCTTAAACTAACCCTGATTAAGGTTGTTTGAATACCGCCATAGCTTTTTCAGAAGATTACTAGTTGTCAGGCAGTTTCAGAGATAATGGAGATCTTATATGATATGATGTAAGAGTTTTGTGATGTCCGTTTTTGTGGTTTATACTCATAAGAGAAAATTCATTTATAGCAGCAAAAAGCCTGATGATTCTGTTTTTTTGATTTTTGCTATAATTGGGTATTTTTGATAAAGGAAAGGCAAATTTAGGCAAGCTTATAAGGGGAGGATGTATTTTATATTAAATTGATGAAGTTTAGCAACTTGGTTGTACATTGTTAGTGTAAATTAGTGTCTATATTGGCTGTAACGTGTGTGCCTCATAATGATTATTTTGTCTCTGAATAACATGTATATGATTCAGATTTTCTTTACATTTGCTAAGCAAGGATAAAAATGCGATCTTTTAGCAACCAAGAATATTAAGTAGATAAAGTTAGAAGGCAGAGGAATTTCATTGTGTTTGATGCATAACATTTATCATACAATCATTTATTTTTTCCTTGGTTTGGCGAAAACAAAGAATATATTGATCCTGAAATGAACAGACACAGCAGTCCGTATTGTTAGATCTTTATCTATTAAAAATGGAAAAACAGCACTTCAGCAAATTCTTTGGCCTCTACTCATGATTACCCTATTTATTGATTGGTTGCCAAGAATGTATGCATCTTAAGAAAGCCAGAGTAAGAGCATTAAAAATATAATTTATTATGGCTTTTCAAACAGACTGCATTAATATTGTACTGTGAAGCACTGGGGCTCTATAAAAAAGACTTTCTGACGCCTGCAAACATATAAGTTCCATAAATTCCTAAATAGGAGATTTCAGCTGTCTCTGGTATTATGTGATATTTGCACAGCAAACTTTAATGCCAGGACAGTTTTAGACAAGGATTCTACAGACTTCACTGCTCCTTATGGCAGACATGCTGTTTACACAGGCTCATAAACCTTCAGCAAAAGCTTCTAAGACTGCCTTCAGGTTTAAATCATGGGGTATTTTTAGCATTCAGCGGTGACCAGTGCACTCCCCTTTTAATGCTGGAAGGTTATGAAGTTGCTGTAGTTGGAAGTCTCGCCAAATACTAGCATGAATAATCAGACGGTTCAGAGAAGGCTCCTGTTCAGCGTTACTCCCAGTAACAGGAGGGCAACCGTGACAGTTTGCTAGTAATGTAACAGCTAGGTTTGTAATTAAATGATACCATTGTCACTTTGTCAATAGACACCTCTAGTATCTACAGGGTACCTCTAAGCTTGATCAATAAAATCCAAAATAAATCCAATATATTTCATGAGCTCAGAAAGCCTACAATTATTGCAAAGGTCTTTAAGGAGCTGCATGTAGTACACACGCCTGTTCATCCTCATGAGAGGAAAAATCAATGCGCATGTTTTTGTTGTACTCACCCAACTCTTTGAAGACATCAGGACAGGGAGGAGAAACCAGAGTTCAGTACAGTAATTTCACTTCCTGCTCAGATGCTTTTTTTTAAGTCTTGCATTCATAGCGACTTATTTTAAAAATGTCGTTTAATTGTTGAAAGTTCTCTCTGCTTACTCCAAACAGCACAGCTACTAAATGCCTTCTGGTGTCCCCCCGCCCCCTGTCATATTTTTCACATGCATGGCTTCTGTGTGAAAGGTGCTAGATAAAAATTGGGACTGAGAAGAGAAAGACCTTCTAAGACAAGGGGGTCAAGTGTTTTTGTTTATTTGTGTAGGAGATTTTGCCAACGTACCTTTAAGCCAAGGAAGAAATCACCGGTTTGCATGTGGCAGTTTTTGCTGTGGTCTCCCCAGGTCTTCTGATCCCTGACGGGTTCTCTCTCTTGTATAAAACAGTTGAATGAATGGCAGGAATATTGGCAAGCTCTGCGGCTTGTTTTTCATGCCTAGCCTGTTGGGCACCTCCGAATGAGTTTGTGAGCTTTCCTAAGGAAACCTAAAGGGGTTTATTTGTCAGAGCTAGAATCTCTTGTGAACAGCTCACTAAAGCTTTAGTGAAGATGCACGGGTAGAAAAATGTAGCTGTTTTATTGCCGGCTTTTGTTCAGCAGAAACAAGCAAATAGAGAATTTTGAAAGGGCATCTCTGATGTCAGTAGGAGATTTTGGTTTTGGCTATGGTTGGTCTGCACTAGATGTCTTTGGAAGTTGGTAGGATTTTGTGAGACCAGAGGGCAGAGCTTATAGAGGCATTCATGTTGTAGGACTAATTGGGGATCCTGGGTGCCCTGTTAAAGTAACCCTTGTCATCATTTATGCTAAAGATGATACCCTCCTGGCAGTTCGCCACAGTACAGCTCAGATGCATCTGCTTTTAACCCTTTTCCGTTTATCACTGAAAGTCTGACAGTGCGCTGCGTAAACACCTTGAGCACCACGGCATTCCGTGATTTCAGTTTCTAGAAGAAGCCTCTTTTCTGACAGTGGGGTGGCCTGTGCTTATTAATCATCTGGCTACTGAGTTACTACATTGGATTAAAGTAAATAAAGAGAGAACACATCAAATCTATGCAGAATCCTTTATCCTAATATGTCCTGATGAGGCCAGTTTCCTTTTCTCTCGCTCATTTTTATCCCATTTACTATAACAAAGATTGTTGATTTTAAAGACATATGGTTACTGTAATATCTTTTTAGTCAGGTAGATTAAATGAGTAGCCATAAAAATGAATCATATTTATCTGCTTTATGCACATGTTGAGATAATCTATTCTTAGTATCAGTTTGGTTAAGTTTTGCATTTCTCTTCTGGAACCAGTGAGAGTAAATAGCTGAAAGAGGAAGAGAATGCTAATAATTTTCTAGTCAAAGGTAATTTGAGAATTGGATACAAACAGGAAAAGTTTAATATTAACAAAATGGTGTAGGAAGCGTGAAGGTGGCTTCCTCTGAAAGTAAACTGGAGTGGATTACGTTTGTATATCACTCACAGCAGATCAGACACAACACACTTCTCTCTCATCAGCATTATTATTTGATCAGAAGGGTAGTCCTGCAGTCATGGATTTTGGAAAATGCACCATTAAAGTTAGAGCAGTATTCAAGGTATCTTAGGACCAAGTTCACCTTCTATTTAAATAATTCTCTTACAACTTTAAAAAAAAAGAGGAGAGAGAGGATGTATATATTCTCTTTGTGTGCTTATGCCTCTATTTCTCTGCCCTCTCTGCCTTGGAAGCAGAGTCTCCCTTTCTCTCACTGTTGTGAAGATTTATTTTCATGGCTTAGCCCCCGCCCCACCACCACCGCAGACTGTATTTCTGAATACTGTTGGTTTGTATCTCTTTTTTTTCCCCCCGTTTTTTTGATAGGAACTATGTTACCGGTTTTCTGCGTAGTGGAACATTATGAAAACGCCATCGAATATGATTGTAAGGAGGAGCATGCAGAATTCGTGTTGGTGAGAAAGGATATGCTTTTCAACCAGCTGATAGAAATGGCACTGCTGTCTTTGGGTTACTCGCATAGCTCTGCTGCCCAGGCCAAAGGTGAGTAATGACATGCCGAGTTGGAAAAATGGCTTGCCATCCTTTGTTTACCTTGCAGAGAAGGCACTGAATATTTTCATTCCAAGCACTGTGTAGCCCGTGTTTTATCTTAGTTCCTTATAGACTGTGGCTTTAAAAAATTGGCTTAATTCAGTTTGGTTTAGTTAACACACATTTTGCTCATGTGGAATGTCGAGGTAGATTTTTTTTTTAAATTACTTCAGCTGAATCATTAGTATGCTTATTGACCTTAATAATCTCCTCCACTGAGGACCCACAAGGAAGTGAGGAGCGTATTTGAGCAGATGGACTGTTGAGAGTCAATTTGCATTTATGACTGAATATCTAGTTCTGTTTCTTTTATTCTGTTTCTGATGGTTTTATGGGCTGTAAAGTATTTTTCAATGCTGATTCCCACTGCAATAGAGAATCTTATCTAAATTGTAAAGCCATTTAGAACTGGTTCAGCTATGTCTTATTAGAACTTCCTGTAAGTTAGGAAAATGTAGCCTTATGCATAGGTTTTATTGATGGGGCTTTATTTCCAAAATAATAAACAACCCTACTGTCATTTACATAATTTCACAATTTGGAAAGCTAAACTGTGAAAATTTTCATTGACCTGCCTTTTAGAGGGAAGGGAATCATTCAAACAGAAATAACAATGTGGCTTGCAGTGGGGGCCATAAAAAAAAAAAAAAACTTTTTACTAGGTTGTTATCTGCAGGGTAAAATATTTAGTAACATATTCTCTTTATCTGGAATAGGGCTAATCCAGGTTGGAAAGTGGAATCCAGTTCCACTGTCTTATGTGACAGATGCCCCTGATGCTACAGTAGCAGATATGCTTCAAGACGTGTATCATGTGGTCACATTGAAAATTCAGTTACACAGGTGAGTCAAGACAGCAATTCCAGGGTGAAAAGATCTACTTACCTGGTCTTCTGAAATAAAGCATCTCTGGCCAACCTTAAACTGTTATTCACCCTGTGACTCAGAACAGTTCGTCCAGATTGATTTTGTTACCTCACTCCTGCTATTTTTCCCCTAACTTCAGTGTATAATTGAAAAGCAGCCCCCCCCCCAAAATTTGTAGGTTCATGAAGACTATCACAAGACAACACTTTCTACATTTAGTCAATTAAATGATGCATTACAAGAAGGCATTTTACATAAAGTTTACTTAAGAGAAAAATATTTTTGCATATCATGAACAGTGCCATCTGTGTACATTTTGTGAAAGAATGCCTTCTTCACTATCGCCGCGATCTTTTTTATTTATATATATATATTTGTAACCTTTTGATTCGTCTGAACAGAGTAGCGAAAGAAAATCCGTTAATGCTTTTCACGGTGGATCGTGAGAAAGCAGTACACCTTAAATTGTCTTTCCAAGCGCATCAGAGCAGGAAGGTAGAAGTAACATGAAAAAATAGCCACCACAGGCAGCTGATGTATAATTCATGCATCGATACAGCAGATGTGTTGTATAAAGTAATTAACTAATCGGAACAATCAGGAGACCGAGAGCAATCTCCAGATGCATCTGTTTGATGCGCAAAATGAAATCTGTCTGTCTTAAAGGAATGTTCTGCAACGGGATGCAATCTTGTAATAATCCCCTTTCTAATCTATGTCTCAAATAGTTGTCCCAAACTGGAAGACTTGCCTCCAGAACAATGGTCGCACACCACAGTAAGGAATGCTCTGAAGGACTTACTGAAAGATATGAATCAGAGTTCGTTGGCCAAGGAGTGCCCCCTTTCACAGGTATTTAGCATAGCACGTAATAAATAATAAAACATCATGGGCAGCCCCGATTGGAGGTTTGATGGGGCTCCACGGTCTAAAGCAACTGGTATCTGAAGCAAGAATCTGCCAGAAATGTAAAGTAACTTGACCACTAGTGACCTTTTAAAATATGCTCAATTCATTCTGAACAGTGCCTTTACGCTTTTTCTCCCTTGGGGAAAAGAACGAAGGACTATTTACAGGAAAAACTGTTCAGCAGAAGACCACTCTAGCTAGTTTTTAAATTCCTCTTCCGAGTGCCCTGAGCGTGGTAGCTACCTTCTCCTGAGCACCTTTATTTAAGAAGCAGTAAAGGTGTGGTACAGCCTCCACGAAGCTTCGGTGAGTGGGAATGACAGCATAAGTGTCACAGTATCAAACTTGGCGATGCCATCTGAATTAAATAAGAGTACCATTCTAGGATACCGTGTTTATTACAAAAACTGAAAAGAGAGCATTTAGTAAAAATAGTTATAAAAACAAGAATAGAAATCTGTTACCTGTGACGAAAGGTTGAGTAGTTACTATTTGTTCAGGATTTTGAAACCAGTTATGTGGCATTGTTTTACTTTTGTGTGTGTGAAATCTTAAATGTTTTTTGAGATGCATATCATACCAGCAGATATTTTTGAAATGAGACTTAGATTTACTGTTGTACTTGATTTTGTAGAGTGAATTTTGGTGGAGGGCATCCAAAACTCTAGGTAGAGACTGCTGCTGTTTCAAAATTTAAAGCCAAACATCGTTTTGATAATACTCAGCTAATTGCAAATAAAAAAGAAAAAGAGTGCTGTGAACCTGTTTTTAATGGGCTGCTTGTGTGGTCACCACGTAAGTGTGTTATAATGCCTTCCCTCAGTGCCCAAGACCCTTTTGGGAGCATTCCATGATGCAGTAGAGCGCTAGTCTAGCTAGACTTTTACTGAATTTTTGAGTTCTTAGTTTAATTAGAGTTTAAAATGTAATTCTGAATATTAGTCTGTCAGTCATTTGACCTTGAACTGTGTGACTCTGCTGTAAACATTTCTGCAATTCAGATAAGGCCCTAGTCTCAAAATGTATTTCTGAATGTGATGCTCATGAAGATACTGGGTATCTACGAAAGGAAGTTTGTGGGCTTTTCTGCTCCTGTTTTAGGGAAACTCCATGCATCTTAAAGTTTGTTAACATTGTAGTCCAACAGCTTTACTTTGATATTTGTTAACAATTTTAAAATGAAGCCAATGAATTAAGTTTAGAATTAACAATGACTTTCTGTATTCCCCTAAAGTAAGCTGTAGTCACAGGTAAAATAGTCTCTGTATTGTTAAGTGTCCATTTCTTGAAATTCAGAGCAAAATATTTTTGACATTTCAGTTACACCTTCAGCTAATCTCCTTCTATACTCCCTCTCTTGCCCTGGGAGTAGAGAGGGTGTGAATTTATAACCATTGAATAAAAGTGATTTAAATTAATTAAGTACAGTTAAGTCAATAGCATGATATAATGAAGCAGGGGTGGCTCTTGTATCTGGGACTTTGGGTTTTTCACATAACTGCAGTTAGCATGTTATTTAGTTACCTGACATTTGAAATTTTGGAATGTCTTAGAAATAAGCTTTTTTTTTTTTTTGACTCAGAGTTGAAACATATATAAATACCCTACATAGGAATCCAATAAATCCATGTTACTAAATATCCCATTAATTTAGAAAATAAATTTAAGCAAAGACTTAAGGCATTTCCTCTAAGATGGAGAAAAGGCCCTTAGTACAAATATTTATTGATATAGGCAGTGAGAACTAATTGTTAAATGACATCAACATTCAGCCAATAAACTCCACCTCACTGTAGCTTATAAATATAATTGTGAATTTAACTTATTGTTATCATGGGAAATGAATTGAATGCAGACAATTAGTAACATTAAACAGAATGGCAAAAAAAAAAAATTGGAGACTTGATTTTGGAGTCCTCCATTGTTGCATTTCTGTATCAAGACCTTCAGAAGAAACCAGGGGCCACATGTAGCTGGAGGTCCCACTGTGAGGATGTAAGTGGTAGAGCTGGGCTGTAACTTCAACATCAGTTATAACTATAATCTTACTTTCTTTTTTTAAGAAAAAATTGTGCATAGTTTAGCAGTGACAGCAGTTATTTGAAATTAATTTAATATTTCATATTACGAGGAAAATTTCACTTGTTCTGTAAATGAAGGAGCTGCGTTTTGCTGCATCATCTCCTATTTCTTTCTTTAGAACGAATCCATGAATCTCATACTTAGCTCAGAATGTTTTAATTATGAACAGTTTTCCATTTGTTTATTATTTTGTCTTCCCTCTAAAGTTATTAAAGATGAGAAACGCAGACTCCATAAGGCCTAAGCCCAAAATATATGCTGAGCGTGACGAAACTACTTTCTTCTGTGGTTGAGATTTGGTGATGAAGATGCTGTGGTGAAAAATGCCTAGCAAATAAATATTGCTTCGGTCCTATCCAAAGTGGGACCTAACACCAAGAAATGCTAAGTATTAAGGCTTGTTTTTCTCCTTCATGGAATTTTGATTTGTTTGTGTGAGAACTTTTAGCCTAAAATTCAACATACGCATTTTGATATACATTCAGGTTTTGCTTTGTTTAATATGATAAAATACTCTAGTAGCAAGTTGGCTACTGTCTTAGTTATCTAGTGCTGCTGTAACAGAAATGACCACAAGTGGATGGCTTTTAACAAAGAGACATTTACTTCCTCACAGTAAAGTAGGCTAAAAGTCCAAATTCAGGGCATCAGCTCCAGTCAGGAAGGCTTTCTCTCTCTGTCAGCCTTCTCATCAATGTTCCCCCCCACCCCCCACCCCCATAACATGACTAGGAGCTTCTCCGTGCAGGGACTCCAGGTCCAAAGGACGAGCTCTGCTCCTGGCACTGCTTTCTTGGTGGTATGAGGTCCCCCACCGTCTGCTCGCTTCCCTTTCCTTTTATCTCTTGTAAGGTAAAAGGTGGCACAGGCCACACCCCAAGGAAACTCCCTTTATATTGGATCAAGGATATGACCTTAGTAAGGGTGTTACAATCCCACCCTAATCCTCTTTAATGTAAAATTATAATCACGAAATGGAGGACAACCACACAATACTGGGAATCATGGCCCAGCCAAATTGATACACACATTTTTGAGGGACATAATTCAATCCATGACAGCTACCAAAAAACAAAACCCATTTCAATTGAGTCAATTCCAACTCATAGTGACCCTATAGGACAGAGGAGAACTGCACCATAGGGTTTCCAAGGAGCAGCTGGTGGATTCAAACTGCTGACCTTTTGGTTAGCAGCCTGAACTCTTAACCACTGTGCCACCAGGGCTCCAAGAATGGCTACAGGGCCCCTAAATATTATGCTTAGCTGGAAGCCCACCCTGTGTGCAAATAGACTTCCACTACAGAGCAGAGGCCAGGAGCACTACTTGAAGAGGAAGCCACAAGGCGCTTGCAGGGGGTGTTTGGCCAGCCCTGTCTCCAAAGTCCTTAGGAACTGTCTCCAAAACTTGCTAAGCAAATGTCCGGTTTTTCTTGGATTCTTAGAACTAGAAAGGATTACCTTCCCTGACTCCTCATTTGACAGGTGAAGGAGCCAGTGTCTTTAGAGATTAAAGTCAAAATACTGGTTAGTGACTGACCCTCGAGTCGTGATTTGCTAAATCTATGTCCTTGGAGTCCTGATAGCACAGTGGTTAAGAGCTACGATTGCTAACCAAAAGGTCAGCAGTTTGAATCCACTAGCTGCTCCTTGGAAATACTATGGGGCAGTTCTACCCTCTCCTATAGGGTCGCTATGAGTCAGAATCAACTCAACAGCAATGGGTATATGTCCTTTCCTAATGATAACTTTTAAAGTAAGCGTTGATTGTAAAATGAATACTTTTTTTTTTTTTTTGGTACAATAATGTTTTCTTTAATAATATTTGTAAGGTTTTTTCCAGCTGCAGAAATTCCATAAGTGGGCATGTGGTGTGATTTACAACTCATACCTTTATTTCTGTTATTGCTTTTCTATCATAAATCTGCCCAAATAGATCGACATGCATTTATTAAGTTCTTTGTACCACGTGTTTATTTTTGTAAAATGGTTCCAAGACACAAGAAATGCTTAGCTCATTATAGATTTGAGGTTGGCTGTTTTGTTGTTATTTTTTGCTTTTTTCAGTGGATGTGGTTAGATGAGTTGGATATTGTATTCTAAGGAGAAAATAAAGTCTGACTTGAGGACAAGAAAGCCTTTAGTCATGAAAATCTTGAGGGTATGGATTTGGGAGATAAATTGGGAGTGAAAAAATAAACATGTTGCTTTACACTAAAATATTTAATTTTGATGCTGAGTTTTCCCTGAAGTTTTGGAAATTGAATTTAAACACTGGATAAATATATATTCAGTCTGTTTCAGGGATAGATTTATTTTTTAAAAAATATCGTAAGTAAAAGGTCATTTAGCACTTCTACCAGTGCAATGTCTTCCTTCTAAAAATGTTTAGGTAAAATATTCCTGAGAGATTGTAATCTGATACGTGTGTTTTTTAACCAACACACACACACACACAAACGTACGTAAGTATGTATGCATACATGAACATACATCAAACAGCTTTCACATTTTTAAAACACTGATTAGTTTCTATTTCACTTCCCACTTAGCGAAAAAGTATCTCCAAGCCCAAATCCTATATAAAATCCTATATAGATCTATATTCATGTATTCATTCAAAACCGTCTTGGCAGTGTACCGTGTGCCAGGCATCCTATTTTCTATGTGGTAAGGAGGATGACACGTCTTAAAATTTGAAATATTAGTAGTTAACTTTCATCTACTGCTTTTGATGTACCATAAATTCTTCTATCACTCTAGATGGTACATGGCTTTTTATCCCCATTTTCCAGTGCGGCACACGAGGCATAGAAAGGTTAACTGAGCGCCCATGTGGTTACATAGCTCGTGAAGGAGCAG